TATATGCCCAGAATGCCAGTGGGAAGGAGACTTGGAGGAGAAAGGTTTGCGCCTGCCCATGCTCCATTGGGGGGTGCTTTCTCTTTCTTTCCCTCTCTGTGGTGAGTGCATTCTCCTTTTGGCAATTAAAAAAAGTTCACTGTGGGACCAGCAGTTAGCATAATGGCTATGTCACTGGACTCCCATTTAGTTGACCACAGTTCGAGTCCTGGACCCAGTGGCTTAAACTCACGCCAGACGCGTGTGTGAGTGTGTGCGCCCAAGATCTCAAGAGGAGCATGGAGGAGAAGGGATTGTGGCATGGCCATCCCCCCTGGGGGGTGATTTCTCACTTTCTGTCTCTCTGTCTCTCTCTGTCTTTCTGGCGAGCACACGTGCCCTATAGCAAAAACTTCTATTAAAAGAAAAAAAAAGCTCACTGTAATATATTTTTAGAGGATAGAGATTATTCAAGAAGGCTGTAGAGAAGATGAGTGAAAACCTTGTCCATACCCAGCACCTCCAGCAAAGAACTCATTTCTGAAGACTTCTTTTTTCAAATGACCAGAGAGCATATGTACTTGTTAGAGAGACCGAGATAGAGAGGGAGAAGGACAGTCGCGCTCTAATCTCCGCTCCTCCACTCTCCCTTCTTTTGAGATTTTGGGCACACACGCACACATGCTTTTCAGGGCACTGGGTCTGGGACTCAAACCACAAGCTCGGCCGTGTGGGATCCAGCTCCTTTATCCAGAGGCTGGCCCGAAAGACTTCCTTTTTGTTTTTCTTTTGTCTTTTTTCCTTTCTTTTTTTTTTCCTGCTAGAGGGCACTTGTACTCCCCAGAGAGAGGACAGAGGAGCGGAGAAAGTGCCTCCCGTGGGGAATGGTGGCACTGCAGTCCTCTTCCATCTCGCTCTTGTTTGGGGCTGTTGGGCGTGCACACACATGTGCCTAGCGTGTTTTTCAAGCCAAGCGTGTGCGACCCAAAATGGTTTGTCAGTCATATGGGATCCAGCTGCCTTAACTAGTGGGCTGCAGAGCTGGCCCAGGACTTTTTTCTTAATTGTTTCCTATTTGCTGATAAATTAAATTTAGTGTGGGAAGTTAGATCCATGGTGCACCCTATCCAGAGAGCTATACTGAACCTGAAGATAATCGTTTTCTTTTCTTTTTTTTTTTTCTCTTCTTTTTACTGCCAGAGTGTGCTCACCACACAGAGAGAGAGAAAGAGAAAGAGGGAGACAGTAAGGGAATGAAGCCCCCTCCACACCCCCACCCCACCCCCGGAGTGGGGCGCAGTCATGTCACAGTCCTTTTTCCTCCATTCCTTTGTCCTATCAGGAGTTGGGGCACACATGCACATGTGCCTGGTATGATTTTTAAGTTGCTTGTACCAGGATTCAAACTGCAGTTAACCACGTGGGGATCCGGCTCCTTAGCCACTGCCTGTGGTGGTGGTGGTGGGGCAACCTGGGTCTGAAGATACTCTTTCATCATTTATAAAGTGATCCAGTGGCTTGGACTGTAATAACATTGTTTATAGGAGCACTTATCAAAACTTCAGGGTCCTGAAGATCGCCACATACTTTTTTCTTTAAAGAGAGATTTTTTTGCTATAGGGCCTATACACTTGCCAAAGACAGAGAGAGAGAGAGAGAGAGAGAGAGAGAAATCCCCTCCCCCCAGGGATGGCCACACTGCAATCCCTTCTTCATTCTCTTGGGATTTTGGGCACGCACACACATGCACCTATTGTGAGTTTCAAGCAGCCGGATCCAGGACTCAAACTACAGTTGGCCATGTGGGAGTCCAGCACCTTAACCATTAATGCCACCTGCTGGCCCCTCCCCACATACTCTTAAAAGTTACTGAGACGCCAGTGAGCTGTTGGCCATGTTGGCTGTACATGCTGATATTTATCACAATAGCTATTATTAAAACTGGGACTTTAAAAAAATCGTCAGTTTATTTAGAAACCTATTACATATTAACATAAATACCATGTTTTTATGAAAAATGACTTTAGTTTTCCAAGCAAAACAAAAAATTTAGTGAGACATGACATTACATTTTTGCACATCTTTTAAATGTTTGACTTAATACAAGAAAGCTGAATTCCCTTATTTGCATCTGTATTCAATCTGCTGCAATCTGTTGTTTTGGTCGAAGCATATGAGGAAAATTCAGCCTCACGTAGATAGTTAATGAGAGACAGGAGGAGTATTTTAATGATCTTTTTACATAATTGTGTATATTCTTTGACACTGCACCAAAATGCAACAAGTGGTAGTTTCTTTTTTGAGAGAGATTTTTGCTCTAGGGCATGTGAGTTCACTGGAGACACAGACAGAAAGCAAGAAATCACCCCCAGGGGGGATGGCCACACCACAATCCCTTCTCCTCCATTCTCCTCTGGGGATTTTGTGCCCGGTGTGAGTTTTAAGCCACTAGGTCCAGGACTCAGACTGTGGTCCAACTACATGGGACTCCAGCAATGTAACCGTTAAGCGCCATCTGCTGGTCCCACAAGTGGTAGTTTCTTAAAGGTTAATTGCAGGGTGGGAGCTGGATATATATCAGTGAATTTTTCACTCTTGCCCTAAAATCCATTAGTTCATCTTTACTTTGGAAATGAATCTTTTGGCTATAATTGATTTTATAATGTCATCTATTGGTCATTTGGAAAATATTGATTCAGTTTCTTACTCATTGTTTCCAAATATTGGCCATTTCACTATACAGTATCAAAAAATTATATCTGTTAATATTCTGATGACCTCAGAAAAATGAGAAAAGGTATCAAGCTCATGGTGGTAGATAATAGGTTTTTAAAATTCTTTCTTTCTTTTATTTTTTCCAGAGAGATTTTTGCTATAGAACATGTGCGTTCGGTAAGAGAGACAGAGAGACAAAAAGCAAGAAATCACCTCCCCCAGGGGGGTTGGCCATGCTGAAGTCCCTTCTCCTCCATTCTCCTCTTGAGATTTTGAGTATGCACGCACATGTGCCTGGCAAGAGTTTTAAGCTGCTGGGTCCAGGACTTAGACTGTGGTCGACTGTGTGTGAGTCCAGCAATGTAACCTTCTGCTAGTCCCTGGGTTTTTAAAATTCTAATTTTCATTTGAAAGTTGAAGATTTATCATTGACAACAGAAACTGTCCTTTGTTCTCCTTGAAGTTGTAGACCACTTCTTTCGTTATGGAGAACATGTCTGCCAGATATCCAAGCCCCAATATCCATACTTGCCTGCCATTCATTCTTTCTAATAAAATGGTGTTCTGTGAGAGAAAGCCGTTGTTTCAAGCTTTTAACTTGACTGCTCAGTTGCTTTTCCTTGAGATGGCCAGTGAAAGTGCTTTTTGAATAATTCCCATACCATCAAAAAGAATGTAATAAAAGAACTGTTCTGAAGGGTTGAGGTTTAACGTAAGGGCACTTCACGAAGGTTTGTGGAAAATGAAGTTCAAGTATGAGTTTATTTTAGTACAAAACATTTTGAAATCCATGCATAGTTTTCTCATAATAAGCATTATTCATACTTTCTGAAAACCCCTCATACAGTGAATAATTTGTGTCATCATCAAGAATGTTCTTAAGTGAAACTGGCTTCTTTGAAAACCCCGAGTGCGTGGTAGGGGGGCACGCAGTGACCGAACGGTGACCGCAGCCGTGTTTATGCATTGACCCACCGGTGCTTTCGTGCAGTCATGTCAACACAGGGGAAAAGGTGGATGAAGTTTTAGTGTTACTGTGAACATAGTTTTTGGGCCAGCCAGTGGCATGGTAGTTAAGGCAGCTGGATTCTACACGGCTGACTGTGGGTTTGAGTCCTGGGTTCAGTAGCCTATAAAGCATCCTAGCTCAATTTTTTAAGAAGAGAATGGAGGAGAAGGAATTGTGGTGTGGCCGTCCCTTCTGGGGTGGTGGTGGGGGGTGTGTCCTTCCTTTCTCTGTCTCTCTCCTGCAAACACATATACCCTATAGCAAATTTTAAAATAAAGTAAAAAAAAATATATATATATTATATATGTGTATATATGTGTGTGTATATAAGAGTGTGTGTGTGTGTGTCGGCTGACTGTGGGTTTGAGTCCTGGGTTCAGTAGCCTATAAAACATCCTAGCTCAATTTTTTAAGAAGAGAATGGAGGAGAAGGAATTGTGGTGTGGCCGTCCCTTCTGGGGTGGTGGTGGGGGGTGTGTCCTTCCTTTCTCTGTCTCTCTCCTGCAAACACATATACCCTATAGCAAATTTTAAAATAAAGTAAAAAAAAATATATATATATTATATATGTGTATATATGTGTGTGTATATAAGAGTGTGTGTGTGTGTGTGGGGGGGTGTATGTATATATTATATATAATACTTTTGACTTCACAGATCCTCTGAAAGAGGCTCAGGAACCTACCCCTGGTGTTCCAGGGTCACACTTTGAAAACCACAGGCTTACAGAAATGTCTCAGTTCATTAAATGGTCACAAGTGTCCAAGCTTTTCAAACTCTGGGCGTGTTTCCTTTAATGGTGGTGTTGAAAAGGGGGGTGTATGTATATATTATATATAATACTTTTGACTTCACAGATCCTCTGAAAGAGGCTCAGGAACCTACCCCTGGTGTTCCAGGGTCACACTTTGAAAACCACAGGCTTACAGAAATGTCTCAGTTCATTAAATGGTCACAAGTGTCCAAGCTTTTCAAACTCTGGGCGTGTTTCCTTTAATGGTGGTGTTGAAAATGCTGAATTGTGCTAGTACTGATCTGACGTTCTGCGGGGCTGTTGACGACTGAGGTCACTCATTATCTTTGTTCTGTCTCCACAGGTGACCTGGTGATTCCTGATGGCGCACCCACTTCAGGCTGGCTGCAGGGCCGGAGCTGCTGGGGTGCCCGGGGCTTCTTCCCCTCCTCGTGCGTCCGCGAGCTCTGCCTGTCGTCGCAGAGCCGCTGGGGGCGCTCCCCGCAGGCCCCGCCGCCCGCGTCACGACTGAGGTCACTCATTATCTTTGTTCTGTCTCCACAGGTGACCTGGTGATTCCTGATGGCGCACCCACTTCAGGCTGGCTGCAGGGCCGGAGCTGCTGGGGTGCCCGGGGCTTCTTCCCCTCCTCGTGCGTCCGCGAGCTCTGCCTGTCGTCGCAGAGCCGCCGGTGGCACTCACAGAGCGCCCAGCTGCAGATGCCGGAGTACTCCATGGGGCAGGCTCGGGCCCTGATGGGGCTCTCCGCCCAGTTGGATGAGGAGCTGGACTTCAGGGAAGGGGACGTGATTACCATTATTGGGGTTCCCGAACCAGGCTGGTTTGAAGGGGAGCTTGAGGGCCGAAGAGGCATTTTCCCAGAAGGTTTTGTAGAGCTCTTGGGGCCCCTGAGGCCTGTGGATGAGTCGGTAAGTTCTGGAAATCAGGACAGCCGCATTACGAATGGCAAGGTCGATGCTGCTGTGGATGAAGAGAGAGGGCCAGAGGAGGACAGCGAGCAGCCGGGGACCTATGGGGTCGCCCTGTACAGATTCCAAGCCCTGGAGCCAAATGAGCTGGATTTTGAAGTAGGGGATAAAATCCAAATTCTGGCGACCTTGGAAGACGGCTGGCTGGAAGGGTCCCTGAGGGGCAGGACAGGCATCTTTCCGTACCGCTTTGTAAAGTTATGTCCTGACGCAGGGGTGGAGGAGACCGTGGCTCTGCCCCAGGAAGGCCTTCCCAAGGGCCCTGAAACTGCCGTGGATTCTTTGGAGAACTCCTTCCCAGTGGAGGAACGAACACATGACCCTCATGAGTGTGAAGCGGAGAAGCCCAGCTGTGTTCCTGAAGCACCCGCCTTTCCCGGCCGCCTGACCCCTGAGCATGAAGTCGGCAGAAGCTTGTACTGGGAAGAAGGCTCCTCTGGAGGGCCCCCCAGAAGCCCAGGTGTGGAGCATGGACAGCTTCCGGCCACAGGCTCTTCCACTCCGAGTCCTTCGGAGGTGGTCAATGGGATTTCCTCCCGACCTCAGGTACCTTCTCATCCCCGAGTGCAGAGAAAGCAGTGTTACTCGGCCGCAGAAGGGAGCTTTCCGAGCCCCGAGCAGTACTGCGACCTTCCTCCTCCAGAAGCACGGCCGAGCGGTTACTGCAGCCTACCTCCCAAGGGAACGCATTCCCAGCCGAAAGCCCTGCGGAAGCCAGCACCCCCTCTGCACAGGGGCGCATCCCTGTCGCCCTCCAGGCTAGTCAAGCCCAGCCAGCTGAGCTCCCAGCTCCAGGGCATGGTGAGGTATGCTAAAAGGCACCGCATCCCCAAGGAAAACGCGTCCAACCTTTGTTCGGCGCCAGAGAGATCCGAGATGAGGCCTGGTCCCCAGAGCCAGGGTCCTGCCGTGGAAGGAACGGCCCTGTCACAGGGAGATGGCAGCCTGGACCTGGATTCAAAGTTGACACAGCAGCTGATAGAGTTCGAGAAGAGCCTATCGGGGCCTAGCGCAGAGCCGGATAAAATCTCACGCCACTTTTCAATCATGGACTTTAACTCCGAGAAGGACATTGTCCGAGGTTCCTCGAAGCTCATCACCCACCAGCAGCCACCGGAGAGGAGGAAGGCCCTCAGGCCACCGCCGCCCCGTCCCTGTACTCCAGCATCCATTTCTCCCCACTCGCTGGTCGGCCAGAACCTGAACCCCGCACCACCCTTGGCCGTGCGGCCCTCGCGCCCGGCTCCCCTGCCTCCCTCCGCCCAGCAGAGAGTGAATGCCGTGTCCCCCAGGCTCCTCACCTCTCCTCGCCCCAGCTGCGAGACCCCGGGAAAGGACAGCCCCGAGCATACGGAGAAGGGCGTGGACCCGACCTCCCCGTGCCCCTTGGTACTGGTGAGGATTCAGGAGATGGAAGAAGACTTGGATATGTACAGCAGGGCTCACGAAGAGCTCAACCTGATGCTGGAGGAGAAGCAAGACGAGTCGCTGAGGGCAGAGACCCTTGAGAATCTCGAGTTCTACGAGAGCAACATTGACAGTCTGAACATGGAAATCCAGCAGCTTCGAGGTGAGTGACCCCCACCAGCCGAGTAACAGCCTCCCTGCTTCCTAGGGAAGTGCTGCATCTTTGGTGGACAATGAACGATTTGCATGTTTGTTACCTAACTTACTTGATCTTTGTAGTTCTTACTTTTGCTATAGAGCACGTGTGCGAGACAGAGAGAAAGGGAGGGGGAGCGTGAAACCACCCCCCAAACATGGCCACACCTCAGTTCCTTCTACATTGTCTTGGGATTTTGAGTATGCGCGTGCGCGCGCGCACACACACACACACACACACACACACGCCTGGTGTGGTTCTCAAGCTGCCAGGTTCAGCACTCAGACCACTCCGCTGGCCGTGTGGGACCCAGCACCTTCTCCACCACAGCGCCGGCTGGCCTGTACTCCCTAGTCTCTTATTCTGTCACCACAGTTCCATTTCTCTGCCTTGATGTGTCCTGTGGCCGCTGTAGCCTCGGGACATCACATGCTGCTGATAAAGACGCGCAAGCCTCCGAGGCTCCACTGTTGACACTGATGTCTGCTCCTCCCGTTCTGTCACGGCATCCACAGCCGTCACGCAGAGGCAGGGGCCCCAGGTACAATGCCGTTAACCACGCCCGGCTCCGACTACAGACCTGCAGGCTAAGACTCCTGAGGAAACTGTACCTGAATCTTTGTGGTCCAAGGACTAGATTTTTTTTTTTTGGAGAGGTTTTCGCTATAGGGCGCGTGTACTCGCCAGACAGACAGAGAGAGACAGAGAGACAGAAAGCGAGAAATCACCCCCCGGGGGGATGGTGACGCCGTAATCCCTTCTCCTCCATTCTCCTCTCGGGATTTTGGGCACACGCACACGCGCCCGGCGTGAGTTTTAAGCCATCGGGTCCAGGATGCGAACCACGGTTGACTATGTGGGAGTCCAGCGACATAGCCATTACGCTAACTGCTGGTTCCCCAAGGACTAGATTTTAATAAAAACAAAAATAATAGCTAACAGTAACTCACGAATAAGTGTGTGTGCCACTTGCCTACATGAAGAATCTTCACAGCCACCCCAAGGAGGTAGGGATAATTCATATGGTTACTTTACTTTTATATATATTTTTACCTTTTGTATCTATTCTTTTTTCTTTTTAGGATTAATTTAAAAATTGTTTTGATAATTTCTTACTTACATTTAATTCTTATGTACCTTTGTGGGACACAATATGGTTTTTCAAAGCATGTGTGCAGTGCACGGTAAGCAAACGATGCTGTTTCCGTAATTGTTATCTGCCAGGAAGAACATCACATTATACTGTACGCCTCGGAGTTTTGTTCTGCTAGTTGTTTTGCTGTTGTTGTTTTCCAGGATCTGTATTTATAAGATAAGCAACCTCTGCGACCAGTAGATGGCATAGCAGTTATGTTGCTGGATCCTCATATAGCTGACCACAATTAGAGTCCCGGACCTGGTGGCCTGAAAATAATGCTGGATGGGACCAACAGATGGCATAGCAGTTCCGTTGCTACATTCCCACATGCTCAACCACGGTTCGAGTCCCGGACCTGGCCACTTGAAACTCATGTCGGGCAGATGTGCATGTGTCCCCAAAATCCTGAGAGCAAAATAGAGGAGAAGGGATTGCCACATGGCTATTCCCCCTGGGGGTTGATTTCTCAGTTTCTGTCTCTCTGTCTCTCCAGTGTGCACATATGCCCTATAGCAAAAATCTCTCTTTAAAAAAGACAAGGAAAAAAAAAAGATAGGCTGCCATTTTTTACTCTATCATGATAACGCGATTCTATAACCTATTTGTTTACACGTACTCTTGTCTGTAAAAAAACATTTTCCCCTGAGCACCCCCCACCTCCCCAACCACTTTATAGTTTTTTGTTTTTGTTTTTTTAAGAATTGTTAAGTGCTAGGGCCAGCAAATGGCATAGTGGTTATATTGCAGAACTTTCATGTGGCTGACCACAGTTGAAGTCCTGGACTTGGTGGCTTGAAAATCACGCCAGACATGTGTGCCAGTGTACCCAGTATCCTGTGAGGAGAATAGAGGAAAAGGGATTGTGGCAATCTCTTCTCCATTCTCCTCTCGAGATCTTGGGTACACACACACATGTGCCCGGCATGAGTTTAAGCCACTGGGTCCGGGAGTCCAGCGACATAGCCATTACACTAACTGCTGGTCCCTATGGTATTTCTTAATGAGGAGAACAGCAACCAAATCTGGTACTGGACTTCAACACAAAATCCACAGTACATTTAAATGTCTTCATCATGAAGAATGTAACAAACATAACATGTAATAACTCTCAAATATAAAAAACAGGGGCCAGCAGTTAGTGTAATGGCTATGTTGCTGGACTCCTACGGAGTCGACCGCAGTTCAAGTCCTGGACCCGGTGGCTTAAACTCCCGCTGGGCGCATGTGTGTGCGTAA